AAAAAAAAAAAAAAACTTTATATTACAAACGGCCAGCACGAATGACCTGATTCATCTTAAAACTTGTGGTCCCATAAACAGGCAGCTCTTCTTCATATGCTCCCATGCCGACCGGCCCGGCCCGCCCGATATTCTCGAGCTCGAAAAGATCCGAGCTGGCACAGCTCATCATGTCATCAAACTCACTCTCTTCCTTGTGAAGATGATGATGATGATGATAATAATAATTATCTCTGAATTCATGTTTCTTCGCGTTTTTCGGGTCGTGGTGAAGCCGAAGGCTGTCGATATTTTTCTTAATGTACCGGCTGCCAACGACCGGCCCGTTCGGGCCGGTCGAATATTCTTCACCGTATAATCCCTTGTTTTCATCTACTAAGAACCTAACGGACCTTGTAGATTTACTCTTTTTATTACTGATCATAATATTGTTGTTGTTATTGTTAATATTGCTACTACTAATTATACCTCTACTAGAAAACTGACTCTTGCTCAAGCATGACCTCGACGCGAACGAGGTCGAGCTCGTCCTCGTGTCGTTTACCGACCGCGACTTCATGACCGATGAGTTTTTGCGGCCCCACTCTTCCTCCCGGGCCGGGTTATTTTTCGAAGCTCTCGGGCTGAAAATGGAGTTCAAAAAATTCGAAATCCTCCCGCCGGGCGAGATCGGCTCTTTCGCCTTCTTCAACTCGCCGTAAATCTTGCGGGCCCGGATTTTCGCGATCGTCAACTTCCCGTCGCGCTTCGGTTGGGTCTCGGTCGTGGGAGGGGTGTTTTTGGTATTTTGCGAAGATTTTTTCGAGGCGGAGGACGACGACTCGGTATCGGTGGGGGAGAACGTGCTCGACTGAGTCGACTCGGTGGACGAGCCCGAAGAGTTTGACGGCATGTGAGTTGGGGACGAGGACGACGCGTTGTTGGTTGTGCCGTGGCTTTCGATCCATTTCTCGATCATGATGGCCCGACGGAGGCTCTCGATTTCCTTCTCGATTTGCGGGCCGTTGTTTCGTTTGTGGAGGTCGATATCTTTGACGTCCCGCCGATGATCGTTTTGCGCGCCCGTCTCGTCTATGGATCGGTAGATGGCGTCGAGGAGTGAGGAGGAGAATGAGGGTTGTTTTCGCCTTGGCTTTTGTGTTTGTCTCTCATGATCAACAGCCATTTTTTCTTTCTTTTTTTTGGTAGAGAGGAATTAAGTGAATGGTAAGAAGAAAATTGGAATTTTGTGTTTTGAGTGTGAGTGTGAGTGCATGAAGTGGTTAGGGGGAGAAAAGGGGTGAGTTTTACCTAACAAATGTGTGAATTGTGATGTGAAAAGGAGAAGAAATTAGCACAAATGAGACTTTTGGTGAGACTTTTAAAGAGATTTTAAAGGAAAAAGCCA